AAAACCCCGGTTGAAATTTTTATTTTAATTGGTTGATCAGCTAACTTTTCAGCTATTAACTATAGCTCATAACTATCAACTATAAGTTCAAAATTCAGTTATAAGTTATTAATTAATTTATCAATTATCAATAAGTTTTTCAACTTAGGTATACCAAACATAGCATAATAACTTTTGTGAAGATATCTAATAAATATATATAATCTGTTAATATATAAAGAGACAATGATATTTACTTGAAATAGTAACTAAAAATCAGTAAAAAAATATTTGGTTTCCCGCATAAAAATTCAGAATTACTAAATTGGGTAATTTGTTTAGAAAATTTTAAAAAACTCCGCCTAAATTAATGTAATTAATGTACAGAATCATTTGGTCAAATATTGCGGCTATTACCTTAATTAGTTGCATGATTTAAATGTGGAATATAATATATTGACAAAACTTGCATCTATTACCTTTATTAGTTGGTTTAAATTTGGTATATTATATATTAAAACAATAAAAAGATATTTATTTAAAATTAAAAATAAAAAAAATAATTATCCATAACTTAAGGGTCAATATTAACTTGGACATAAACGAAATAGTCAATTATTTATTGTTCAATAAATTACTCAACTACTTAATTTTTTTTATTTGAATAGTTTATATAAAAATAAATTATTTTAAGTAATGAAACAATATAAGTTTTATATTTATACTTATTAATTATTATTTACATAAGTTGTTAATAGATGATAAAATTTTACCAAAATAACTGTTTTATGGAATCACATTATAGTCAAATCAAAGTTCTAAATAAAAATTTTGAAATAACACTTATTTTGAAACGAATATAATATAATTTATTATCAGTTTTGTGCACCGCACGAGTTCTGTACTAATTTTAAATAGACATTTTTATGTAATTTTGCACAATTTAAACTTTATTTAACATTTTCAACAAATTAATATAGGTAAACTGTAGTACATATTGGTTCCATATTTTTAATTTATAAATATTATTTAATAAGAATTTTTAATTTATAAATATTAATGAATATCTGTTATCGTGCAATGCACGTGACTCATACTAGTTGCAGTGTAAAATGACAACATTTTATTTGAATTTACTCACTAGCGGCCATATCGTTTTCTATAGATAGAATTATGCTTTAAATTTACTTCATTTTAGCAACATTAAAAAATAGGGATCTAAAAGAGCCTTTGGCGATTTCATAAATATAGACAATTTTTACATATTGACTACCAATTTTTCTTTCATTTTCTTTTCTTTTCTTCTTTCCTTTTTTTGGAAAAATATTCCAAGACTGATTGTACAATAAGGAAATGCCTATATTTTATCATGTTTACTACAAATGATTTTTTATTTAACTCCAAAGCAAATTGTATTGTTATTTTCTTTGCACTGATTAATTATTATTTAATTTCACTTAATATTTTTCTCCAATATAATGTGATTGATTCACCTAATAATGAGTTTGAATTTTGCAATATTAGGGTGGCGCGTGGTGTACATCACCTTCTGAGTGCTTGGAAAGATCAAAAGGATGGCTTGGGGACGTTTATTCCAGACCTCGAAGAGCTTATTTTGATGGGATGCTAGAAAACAACAAAACATACAATCCAGGTTAAATAAATTAAAATTATCAATCACTGTTATTTCAAAATTTGTATCCAACTTCCATCGAAATTTAATTGCATTTAATTATACATCTTATGTTTTCACGATATAATATGAATAATAATGATGGTTGTATGTAATGATTTTCACTTAATTATTTCAGATTTTTATAACTGGAATAGAGTCTACATTGTATATTGCGATGGCTCGTCATTCTTGGGAGATGTTGAGGAAGTTGACCCTGTAAATCTTATAATAAATTTGATCAATTTATTTTTGTACCGTCAATTAATTCACCATTTTATTTATTTATTCATTTGTAAATAAATGATGATAATATTCTTTACTTTGTATTATTCTTAATTTTTTTTTTCTTTGTTTTTCAGCAAACCAACGTTACTTATAGAGGCTCAAGAGTCTTTGACGCTGTTATCGAGGATCTATTCGCTAAAGGATTGAATAATGCCGAAAATGTATGTTTTAATTTCTTTAACTAATTTACATCAATATCTTTCTTCTAATAAAAAATTAAATATCATTTTTTGAGAAATCGAACAATTTATTTAAATAGGTTATTCTTTCCGGGAGCTCGGCTGGTGCATTAGCAACTATATTGAATTGCGATACTTTCAGTGCTCGTCTTCCTAATGCTAAAAGGGTTAAATGCCTTTCTGATTCTGGATTTTTTCTCCATGCGTAAGTCTGGTTAATTAAAGAATATATAGCGAAAATTTATCATTTATTGATTACATAAATTTGATATATGAAAAAAGAAAAATTAAAATTACTTGTGTCATAGAACAAATCTTCCAGGAGCAAAGGAAAGAGAAGATTACTTTACTCAAGTGGTCAACTTACATGTATTATTTCCTCCCTCATGATATTTTTGTACTTCATTTTTATGTGTAATTTCATTAAAAGATAATTCTTGAATGTATACATTTTAGCTAATTTTTATAATATTTATTTCTCAATTTTTTGAATATTTGGTGTAGGGACTAGAAAAATTCTTGCCTGCATCATGCACATCAAAACGGAATCCTGGTCAGGTGAGAGTGAAATTGATTATAAATTTCAAAATCGGTGAATTTATCAAATGCTACATTATCATTATTGTTTATTTATTTATTTTTTGCAAATAAATGGTTTACTAATTAATCATGCAAACAAAAACTTTTCAGTGCCTTTTCCCTGAATACTTGGTCGAGGACATTCAAACCCCACTGTTCATACTCGAATCTTCATTCGATTATCACCAGGTAAACTTTGGGTTAAATTTAAATTATTACATGGAATATGTTCAATTACACTGTTACATTTTCTATAATTATGATCAGTTTAGTGAATATATATGTCGTATTGTGTTTTTGTTTTATTTTATTTTACGAATAATTCAATTAATTTACCGTTATTGCAGTTAAGAGAGATGCTAACACCTTATATTGGTGGTGGTTATGACGAATGGCATGATTGCATATACAATTTGACACTTTGCAATTCAACTCAAATAGGAATTTTTCAGGGTACTCAAATCTCTACAACAAATTAATTCTTCTTTTCTCAATTTGAATTAATTAACTATAAAACTACCCTAACAATTTAATTTGTGTTTCTATTTTCAGAATTTCAGCAAACATTTATAAATACATTGCAAAATCTTAAGTTTTCTGCATCAAGAGGAATGTATGTTCACAATTGCTATCTCCATACGCATATCTATTTGAAGAGTGAGTCCGTGTGCTCAGCTGTGGGAAAAAATACATTGGAAAATAAAGTGAGTTTAGTAATTTTATTTTTTTATCTTTTTTTTTTTTTTCCCTCTAAACTACTCCTAATAAATTAATAATATTGAATTAAAATTTATCTAAATTTAATAATTTTGCAGTCGGTAGCGGAGGCCATTGGTGATTGGTATTTCGACAGGAGGTCTTTCCGTGATATAGACACTGTTGATCACGTGCCACGAAATTGTAACAGTACTCTTGACCATAACGCGTTTAACAAGAAATGTATTGAGATAATTAAACAACACTAAATATAATAATACATGTTACACACAATTTATGGCCAAATAAATAAAATAAACCTCTATACAATTGTCATTTATCATGTTCTATACGATTGTCATTTACCATGTACTATCTTGACTGTACTCTACAAGAGCAATACTGAAATACTATAAGCTACCACTCAATTGTTCACATGTATGGTGGCGTATGTAAGAAAAATATAATATATGTTTTTAAATGATAGGAAAATTATCTAACTATACCAATTATATTATATAAATTTGAATCTGTATTATTTTAAGCATTGTCAGTCAAATTTTGAAATATATATAATTATACATATATTACTGCAACACGTATTACCGACGATGCACTTGGTTCGCAGCCCGTACGATCACGGCAGAAGATTGATTTTTTTTTTTTTATTTTTTGAACACAAAATTTCAGCACAATCAACGAATGAATAAAACTCAATTTTTCAGCACTAAAAAATGAAACTCAATTTTCAGCACAAATTAAAATCAAAACTCACGTGTGTGTGCGTGTGTTTTACGCAACCAAAATACACAAAAAGCACCGCCACAAGTACCAATGCACCTCCCATCGCCATCCGTCACGAGTGGTGGTTGGCCGTGTCGTGCCTCTCATCCCCGACGCCGCCACCATGCGACCTGAACGCTTGTGACTCTGAGACTCAATCGCCGCCCACCCTGTACGGATTTATCCCCGTCAGCATCCCAACTGCCCTTCTCCCATCCTGTCGCCGCCGCCTAGCTGCTGACTCGGCAGCAGTGCCACCAGCGTCGGAAAATTCAGGAAGTGCAGCCCGCTCGACATTTAGTGTTGAACCTTGAGTTTTATTATTTATCATGTATTACATTTATTTATTTATTTTAAAGCATGAATCTCTGTCAGTTACAAGATTCTTGCCATAGTAAGTCATTATTAGTTGCTCTGTTTCGAATATATAGTACATATATAAATAATTAAGTCAAGTTCTGTATAAATAATTGCAAATAAGTTTTCTACTTTGAAAATTTGCAATTAATTTGAAATCACGACAGCACACATGTAAATTGGCCAAAATTATTATATGAATGAATTCCTATTTATC